TAAACTTAAACTATATAGGTAGGTACATTGTTATTAACTTAATTAGGGTACTCCTAAGGCTTAGGAAGAGCCACACTCAAGGGGCCAAAGAGCCGCATGTGGCTCGCGAGCCGCAGTTTACCGACCACTGCTCTAACCAATTGGGCTACCTGGCCAGGGCCATATTGGATTTTAATCCAAAGAATAAAATAAGTATCCATGAGTGGATCCATACTGATCCAAAGAAATGATAGATTAAGGAAGTCAATAAGTGAGGGAGAAGACTCCAGTCTCCCGTACAGATTGCCCCAAATGCTGTATATAGCCTTCCTTTAAGGAAGTGGGGCTTGGTCCTCCTCCCTGGAGTGTGGCCACACTTAGTGACTTGCCTCCAAAGGGTATGTGTGGAAAGGGCGATAGGAGAGCGAGCAACTTCCCAGTGGAGGCACCTGGCAAACACCACCTGAGCCAGGGGATCGAGGTCAGCATCATCAGTGGCAAGTCATGTTAATAGCGTGTATCCCTGACCTGATGTGGTGAGAACAGCACTTCCCCCCTGTGATCGTCCTCCAAAACCCAAAACCCCAGTCGAACCATGAGGACAGCATCAGACAAACCCCACTGAGGGGCATTCTACAAAACGCCTGACCAGTACTCCTCCAAATCGTCAAGGTCATGAAAACCATGAGAAACTGGCCCAGCCCAGAGGAGCCTGAGACGGGGATTAAATGTAAGGTGCTGTCCTGGATGGGTCCTGGGAGAGAAAAAGGGTGTTAGGGGGAAACTAGTGGACTCGGAACAAAGGATGGAATTCAGTTCATAGTAATGTACCAGTGCAGTTTCTGAGTTGTGCGAAATGGTGCCATAGTAATGTAAGATGTTTACAATAAGGGAAATTATATAGGAACTGTCTGTACTATCTTCGTAACTTTCCTGTAAGCCTAAAACTATTCTAAAAGAAAAAGGGTTTTTTTGTTTGTTTTTCTTAAAAAGCGTGCCTCGCTTGGCTGTTAGAATTCCAGCTTTAGGTGTTCTCAGGAGGAGAGAGTGGGCTAGCACTGGATCCCCAGGAACCCGAGAGAGACTGCCAAGACAGTGCATTAAAAATATGTGGTCGCCAAAACCGGTTTGGCTCAGTGGATAGAGCGTCAGCCTCCGGACTGAAAGGTCCCAGGTTCGATTCCGGCCAAGGGCATGTGCCTTGGTTGTGGGCACATCCCCAGTAGGAGGTGTGCAAGAGGGAGCTGATTGATGTTTCTCTCTCATCGATGTTTCTAACTCTATCCCTCTCCCTTCCTCTCTGTAAAAAATCAATAAAATATATTTTTTAAAAAATATGTGGTGGTCCCATTCCTATAAAGTTCAAAAGCAGGCGGAAGTCATCCCAGGTGTGAGGAGTCTGAAAAGCGGTCACTGTGTTGGGGGTGGCTGGGAGGGAATGAGGAAATGGCTCCTCGGTACTAGCGACGCTCTGGGTTTTGACCTGGGAGCCGGTTAGCTGGGTGTACTCGGTTTGTGAAAATTCATCCAACTGTATGCTTTCCTGTGTGTAAGTTATATGTCAACAAGGAGTTTATAAATCATAACATAAATTGATTTCAAGCATTAAACTTTAGAGTAGGAAGAGACCAACATCCCTCTACCCATCCATCCACCCACCCACCAGGCAAAATATAGAAGGCCCAAGAGCTTGCCTAAAGGCACAAAACAGACACAGTGGGTCACCCCAGGACCTTGGTGCCGGGCTTTCCCCCTGGACCACAGCAGCAAGAACCCTTTAACCTGGGCACAGGCAGGTCTGCAGGGAGGGAGCCCAAAGGAAGGGCAGCATCTGGGGGACCTTAGACCAAACTTGACTCACCTGTACCTCAGCCTGCTCACTGGTAAAGAGAGTCTCCAACACTTGTACTCTGTCTGCAGCTCAGCCAGAAATGTCCTCCTGCATTGTTGGACTAGCCTTGGTCGGTTCGATTTCCCAGATTCCACTGTGTACGGAGGTCCCTGGAAGTTTTGTGCCTGGAAAACGGGCGTGGTGCAAATGCTGGTGACCCTAGCCCTGTAACAGGGGACACAGGGGAGAGGCTGGATGGAGGTGGGAGGACAGAGTCTGCCCGAGGCTCTGTCTCTCCAACCTCAGAGGGTCCTTCAGAGGATGGACGTGTGGTCCAGTGAAGAGGCTGCTGAGGCCACAGGGGTGAAGTGACTTGCTCAGAGTCACCCTGGGAATGGGATCCCCATTGATCCTTAGCTCAGTCGTGTCCTCTAGCAGTCTGCACTGTAACCATGAGTTTTGTTTCCTTAAAGTAAATTTTTTTCACAATTTTATTTTATTAAAGAAAATATAGACAAGTGAAAAGCATAAAAAGCTGAATTTACTTGTCATTCCAGGATTCAAAAATGCAATTATCTGAAAGTTTTACTTGTACTGTGACATTACATTTTGTATTTTTAAAAAGTGTTTTTATTGATTTTTAAAAAATTTTTTTTTTGAGAGAGAGAGAGAGAAAGAGAAAGGGGGGCTGGGGGAGAGAAGCATCAATCGGTGAACCCGCAGCCTGACCCTAGAATCGAACCAGCAACCTTTTGGTGCATGGTGCATGGGACTACACTCAACCAACTGAGCCACACTAGCCAGGGCACATTTTGTATTTTTTTAATATTTCATTTTTGTGGTTCAATGAAGCAGGAGAATGGGAACTCCCGGTTTGCCATTGTTGGGAGTTCAGTGGGTCTCCTGAGACTTCTGCGGAGTCTGGAGATGGGTGCGGTTAGTCGTCCTGAGGGAGGAGGAGTGGGGACTTGGCCAAAAGGCCTTACACCCAGGAAGTCCTGTGGGGGCCTTGGAGGGGTGTCTCTCCTGAAGAATTATGCCACCAGACATCAAACTCGCCAACCAGTGCTCTGAGAGCCTGGGTCAGCTTGAAGTCGTCTTTTTAAAACCTTTTTGCATTTTGCTTGTTTTGAGCGTTGTAGCTTCATCTGCAGCTGTAAGAAATATGAGAGAGATCCTGTAGACCAGTGGTTCTCAACCTTCCTAATGCCGCGACCCTTTAATACAGTTCCTCATGTTGTGGTGACCCCCAACCATAAAATTATTTTCGTGGATACTTCATAACTATAATGTTGCTACTGTTATGAATTGTCATGTAAATATCTGATATGCAGGATGTATTTTCATTGTTACAAATTGAACATAATTAAAGCATAGTGATTAATCACAAAAACAATATGTAATTATATATGTGTTTTCCGATGGTCTTAGGCGACCCCTGTGAAAGGGTCGTTCGACCCCCAAAGGGGTCGCGACCCACAGGTTGAGAACCGCTGCTGTAGACCCTTCCCCCAGTTTCCCCAGGGGTCACATCTTGCATTAAATTTGTCTTCTTACGTGATTTGATGGACTTCAGGAGCTGAGTGGAGATAGTTTAGCTAGATCCTCTTGTAGTGATGGGAAAACGGAGGCCTGGGGTGACTGGTGAGCTCCCGGGGTGCACACCTGGGAATACCAGGGTCCTGACCTCTCTCTGCACCCCTGTGGCTCCATCAGCATGAGGTTTCGTTTTCTGTCCCCTAGGTGCCTGGGATTAGGTGGTTTGGTAGGTAGAGGTAGCAACCTGTTGTGTGCCCCACCTTCCCTTCCACCCCCCCACCCCCCCCATACACACTGGTAAAGCAACAGAGGTTTATTTCTCACTCGCCCACGTGCACGTGGGTTGGCTGGGAGGTCTGAGGGCATCCCACCTCTGCAGGCCTGAGTGCCAAAGGCAGAGAAAGGGAACATGGCAGTTGTACAAAGGCTCTTCCACTCGAATTGTCAAGTCACTGGCTACCCCTAACCTCAGGGAGGCAAGGGAGTGCGATTCTGTCTTTTGCCTATGAATGGAACCAGAACTATTTGTTGAGCAGCACTAATGAACACCCCAATAACACTCCGTCTATTAGGAGAGACCCGACCTTTGGGCCGGCCACTGGCCAGCTTCTTTCTTTGCGTGATCAGAGTCCCTGTTTTCTGATTTCTCCCCTTCAGCTGTGCAGCCTTCTTTGGCAGTCCCCCAGAGCGGGCGGGCATCTACAGTGGCTCCTGCAGCTTATCTCCCCAGGGAGGGAAGGGATCTTGGGAGGCATGCCTGCACCCCCAAGCCAGTGAGCTCTGGAAGCTCCTCTTGGAACTGCTGTATAATCGGAGGCTGTTAGTAAAAGGGAGATGATATTTCTGGTATATAATGACACTAATTGGACTTCATTCATTCATCCATCCATTCATCATGCCTGCCCAGGACATGCCAGATCCAAAACATTGTGATCCGGGTACAAACTTTCAACAAGAATACTGACCAATTGAGGGTCCCCAGAGCAGGGTGACTATGGTGGTGAGGTATGTGGAAATCCAGTCCTGGGACGATAGCCCGACAGAACCGGGCACGTTTCGTTCACGGGAGGGGAGGTGACGAAGGGTGTGGGAGAACTAACTCTTCAGGAAGGGCTGGCGTGGAGGTGGATTTGCTAGGAGGCTGCTGAAGGCAGGAGTTGGATTAATGGGTGGAAGTTATAAACAGGCAAACAGTTCAGTTTAGGGTCAGCCTTTCCACTAAAAAGTTCATCAGGGGGAGAGCAGGTTTCCTTGAAAGCAGGGAATTTACAGTTCCTGAGTCTCCAACAGGCCAGGTGCCTCTCTTGTCGATTATGTCTAATGCTCTGCCCAATTCCGAGTCCATACTTCCTGAAGAAGTAGACTTTCCAGCATCTCTTATTTCAGGATCTAAAATTCCATCTTAAACTAAAAATGGAGTCATCCGCCTCTTAGCATAAGAGCTGGTATTTGTCATATGAGGGTCAAATTAAATGATAATGTATCGATGGTTGCTACTTTGCACTTAGAGAGCACTGACTATGTGTAGGTACTTTCCTAAGTGCTTTACAGATGCTGATAAAACTATTGATTTACTTAGTTCTCAGAACAGTCCTACCACCAAGGTGCCATGACCACCTTCCTCCCATTTTACAGATGTGAACATGGAGGCACATTGCTGGTACGGAGTGAAATGTGAATCCAGGCAGTCTGGCTCCAGAGCTTCTAACCACTGCCTCTCATGACCCCCTTTTTGGGAGCTGAGGAAATGGTACCCAGCGGGCATTCGTGATGTGTCCATGGTCACAGGCTTCGTTGAGTGGTGGCCCTTAGATCTGGATGGAACCCGGCCTGCTGAGCTCAGTGTGGAAGGCTTTGATCACCCAGCACCCACACGTCCAGTGAAGGTCCTGGACAATGGATTGCATGAAAAGAGGCGATTCTGCTATGAAGACCGAAGCACATGCCCCCATGTCCCAGCAAATTGAGGACAGAGCTGGGGTCATCCTGATGCTTTTCTAACACAGTGAGCCGAATGCCTCTCCATTTCCCAGGATTTGAAATGCTTCCCTCGCTTTCTATCTATGTAAGTCCTACCAAACATTCAAGACCCACTTGCTGCCCACGAAAGTTCCCGAGTCCTAACCTCCGACGGCGCCTAGTTTCTGCACATGTTCTGCATGCGTGATGCCCAAGGCCGGGAAAGGGACCATGGTGCTTGCACGAGCAAGGGCATGATGGCTTAGGCCAGCAAAGATTTGGGGATTTTATGTAGGCTAAATTTATCCATCTTTTGAGCTTGGACTTAGAAAAACTTTCCCTACCGTGAAATTTTAAAAGAATTTCCTTTTGTGTTCTTCTAATATTATTATGGCTTTAGTTTTTATGCTGAAATCCATGATCCATCTGGAATTTCCCTTGTTATATGGAATGAAGTCGATGACCAGTATTCTTTTTTTTCCCATGTCCCCATCGAGCTGTCCCCATGCTATTTATTTTGGATAATCCATTTTCTCTCAACTGGTTTGAAGTACCATCTATATATAAAACTAAATTCCATATACATTTGAAATCATTCACAGTCTAGTTGCTCACCACTGTGAAATTAAGACTTAAAAAGATAGTTAGAAAATCCCCCCAAATGTTTGGAAACTCGGTAACAGACTTCTAAAATAACCCATGGGTCAAATGGAAAGTAGAACATATTTTTAACTAAATGATAATGAAAATATAAAATATCACCAACACTTGTGAGCTACAGCTAAAGCTAATACTGAAAGAAATGTATAGTCTTATGCATATATTATAAAAGAGGAAAGACTGAAAGTCATTGATCTAAGTATTTATTTCCATTAGGGGAGAAAGTATATTAAGCCCAAAGAAAGCAGGAAGAAAATAATAAAGAATGGAAATTAACAAAATAGAAAACAGACATGTAATATAGAAAATTTCAAAGCCATAAGTGGGTTCTTAGAAAAAAAAACCATATGTGTTTAAACCAATGTCTGGCCTCTCCATTCTGGGCTCTCTACGCATATGTCAGTGAAAAACTATTTTAATTACTAAAGCTTTATGGTGTCTTAGTATTTGGTTGTGCTAGTCCCTGTCCGTCACTCTTTTTCTAATTTTACCTAGCATTTGCCTTTCATTTAACCGTTAGGCTTTGTCTATCAGCTCGGCCAGTTTGCATGCATATTTCTTGTTAAACCCTATTGGCAAGTTAAATTACACATTCATTAGAGAAGAGTCGACATTTTTACAATTTCTGAGTCTTGCTAAGAACAGGGTATGTCTTTTCAATTATTCAAGTCTTCTTTAGGGTTTGAAAATTTTCTTCATATAGATCAGCGGTTCTCAACCTGTGGGTCGCGACCCCTTTGGGGGTCGAACCACCCTTTCACAGGGGTCGCCTAAGACCATCGGAAAACACATATATAATTACATATTGTTTTTATGATTCATCACTACGCTTTCATTATGTTCCATTTGTAACAATGAAAATACATCCTGCATACCAGATATTTACATTATGATTCATAACAGTAGCAAAATTACAGTTATGAAGTAGCAACAAAAATAATTTTATGGTTGGGGGTCACCACAACATGAGGAACTGTATTAAAGGGTCGCGGCATTAGGAAGGTTGAGAACCACTGATATAGATCATGCAGATTTGGGGAACGCTTTCCTTAAGTACTGTATTTTATTGGTTGCACTGAAAATGGGAGCTTTTCCTCAATTATATTTTGTAGTTTCAGTTGGTCAACTTCTGAGACCTCTATGTAACAGGCAATGAAAACTGTGTTTGGGACATTTTAGCTAAACCCATATGAATCATACTTGTCAACCACATCCTCTTCAAATGTGAAACACACACCCGACCTGGCGTTTCTTGCGTAATTCTGGCATCTAATCTTTAGGCAACTGCCGTATTTGTCCCAAAAGTTTCAACAGAACTGCTGCAGATGACCCGAAGCAGCATAAACGGCTGAGGGCGGCAGTTGCCTAATCACAGATATTTATCTCAAGTGTCCACATCGTGCCCTGGCTACTCTGCAGGCAGACAATGTACGGTACGGATCTGATCCCCCGCAGGAGAGCTGATGGGAAGCATATGCTGCGGGCGCTGCCCCTGCACCAGCGAGTGAGCATCCCCAGGCCCAGCGGGGGTCCAGAGACACTTCCGCCAGCTCTGCGGTCTCTGCATATTGATTTATCATTTTTCTGATACAAAAGTAATGAATACATACTCCTCACAGAGCAATAGGAAACATAAGAAGACGAACACAAGCCTGCGTCTATGAGCCCTGCCTCCCAGGAGAACCACATTCTGTTTCCTGACGGTCTCTTTTCCTTGCATGTGTACTGGCATGCACAGCCCCAAGTTGAGGTCACTCTGGGCGGATGGTTGTGAACCCTGCTTCTCATGGATATTTTGCCACCTCATACATTACATTCTTCAAAAGCAGGCTTTTCAATGGTGGCATGGTGCTTCCTAAGACAGTCATTCTAGGATCTATTTAACTTACCCATTATATCATTTTGCCTTTGGGTTTCCGATTTTTCCAAAATAAGACTAAACATCTTTGCCCACTTCTCTGCTTATGTCTTTTGAATACGTTCCTAGGTGGATTATTGTGTCAGAATTGGGAACGTTAAAAAATACCGTGGTAAAATACATATAACATCAAATTTACCATTTTAGTCATTTTTTTAAGGGTTCGGCTCAGTGGCATTAAGCACATTCCTGTGTCAGAATTGGGAACGTTAAAAAATACTGTGGTAAAATACTTATAACATCAAATTTACCATTTTAATCATTTTTTAAGGGTTCGGCTCAGTGGCATTAAGCACATTCACACTGTGGTGCAGCCATCACCACCATTTGTCTCTAGGACTTTTTCATCTTGCAAAACTGAAACTCTGTACCCACTAAACACTCTCTCCCCATCCTCCCCTCCCTCCACCCTCTGTTCTACTCTCTGTCTCTATGAACTTGACTACTTTAGGTTCCTCAGATAAGTGGAATCATGTAGTATTTGGCCTTTTGTGACTAGTTGTTACATGTTAAAGAGAGGCATTTATGTAGCAAAGCGTCCTCAGGATTCATCCCTATTACAGCATGTGTCAGAATGTCCTTCCTTTATAAGGCTGACTAATATGCCATTGTACATATAGCCCACATTTTGTTTATCCATAGAAGCATTTGTAAGGCTCTAAATCAAATTGTCTACCGCTGTCCAGAAAGATCACACCACTTTACATATTGGCCAGGAATGCCTGAAATTTAAATTCTAAGGTTTATGCACCTAACTCTGTATTTTAGTAACTTGTGGTCTAATTTATTTGTATTGCACATTCATAGAGTTCCTGCACTGAAGATATGCAGGACCAAGGTATTGCAAAAGGACCCAAGAGGACTCCCCTCCCTCCTGATGTGTGTGATACACATATACAGCATGGGCTAAGGTAGGTTACAGTTGTGAGTATGAAAAACACAGTTTACTCTCAGATTATTCTTTATGAGTTATTGTATTACTAGGGGCCCAGTGCATGAATTCGTGCACCTTGAAAGGAACTGTGGGCCGCGAGGCTACGGTGGGCACAGGGGCAGGTCTCAGCCCGTCCTCCGTGCCCCATCCGGCCCCTCCCACCATGGCGCTGCCCCCACATGCTGATGGCGCAGGCCCTGCTCGCACCCGCTGACAGCACGGAGCGATTGGGGCTGGCGCCAGCAGTGGGTGTGAGTGGCAGCTGCTGCCCCAATCACCCCTCAGGAGCAGGGGGAGGTGGAAGAGCCCTCGGGGAAATCAGGGCCAGCAGCCGCCGCTGGTACCCACTGATGGCTCCGAGTGATCAGGCCGGCGCTGGGCACCGGCAGCGGGTGTGAGCAGGGCCAGCCCTGGCAGTGGGTGCAAGTGGGGCCGGCGCTGGCAGCAGGTGCGAATGCCGGGCGGGACTGCGGTGCGCGGGAACAAAGAATTTTCAGTAACCACCAGAGGCTTGCTCCGATGACAGTGACTGGAGCCTCGCCTTGGTATGGCGCCCCCGCTCACCTGTTCCACCATCCTGCCGCGGCCAACACCCACCATGGTGGTCAGTGCACGTCATAGTGGCCGGTTGTTCGGTTGTTTGGTTCTGTTTGTTCTGCCGTTCAGTCTATTTGCGTATTAGCCTTTTATTATATAGGATTTTCTGTAAAAACAGCTGTTTGTCTGTAACTTAAGGTGAGCATCCTTAGTACTATCAAAGGGTAAAGGAGCTGGCCACAGTTCGGATCAGAGCCATGGAATTTAAACTCACGTCACAACTGGCTTTTTTATGTTGTTGTTAAACATATCCCACCTAAGGATATGTTTCCATTGATTTTTTTTTTTTTTTTTTTTTAGAGAGAGAGAGTGGAAGGGAGGGGGAGAGACAGAGATAGAGAAACATCAATCTGAGAGAGACACATTGATTGGTTGCGACCAAGGCCAGGGATGGAGCCTGCAACTGAGGCAGGTGCCCTTGACTGGAATTGAACCCCAGACCCTAAGATCCACAAGCTGACTCTCTATCCACTGAGTCAAACCGGCTAGAGCACAGTTGGCATTTGTGTAATTTTGACTTCCCAAGGATTCATTCCTTTCGATCTGATTCCATTTTTGTGCCTGTCAGGAAAGGCACCAAGAATTTTATTTGGGAGGAAACATCTGGACTTTGTATAGCATCTTAAACTTTTCAAAGGGTGTCACTTACACGATTTCACCTGGTTTCTACAACATCTGCAGCCCTAGGAGGCAGGCAGGGGGATATTGTCAATCACATCTGCGTAGACACAGGTTCAGAGAAGTCACACTACCTGCTGGAGGTTGCACAGCGGTCTGGGACCCCGGGACTCAAGCTCCTGCTCCAGAGCCCTGTGGACGGCCTCGGTCAGCTCACTCACTCCAGCTCACTCATGCTGTTGCCAGGGTGTGCTGCTCCTTTACTTGGCATGTCAAGCCTCCTGGATTGTCCAGGAACGTACTTTCTTGGAGAGGAAAAGGAAGAGATATTTGAGCCACACACAATACACCGTGCTTGCCAGGCACCTAATAGGGACACTCAATAAATATCAATTAAAAAATGCAGCCACATTGGCTGGTGTGCTGGCCAGATCCTAAAGTGTCGGGAATATTCTGTGAATGGGAGATGGAGTGTGAGCTGGAAGGCTGTGTGGAGGCAGAGAGGGAGGTGGAGTTCTGGAGGGATGAAGCCATTCTCCTGAGAGTTGAAAATGCCCTGGGGGGTCCCTGTCCACAACCAGGAGAGGAAAAAGGGAACACACAGGGGTTGAGATCCTGCTGGGACCCATGTCTTTCTAGCTGGGCTGGAATTCCCTCTGGCCCCCACCCCCACCCTAGATCTCAAACCAGTGGAGAACATTGGGAGACAGCTGGCTGGGGCTGGGCGAGTGTGAATCGTGGGGTGTGGAGGGGGTGGGCGGGAAATGGAATGGGTGTGCCCACCCTCTGGCATCCTGAGGGATTCACTTCCCATGGCGTAGGTCCCCTTAAGTGTCTCTGCCTTGACAGAGAAGCAGCAGAAGTCTATTTGGTAAGCGGTTCTGGGCTTATGGGCTTTTTTGGAGCCTCTCCCGTGGTTGGGGCCCACGGTGGTTCCCAGGAGACAGAGCTGGTGCCCCTGGAGTCCAGGGCCACAGGAGCGAGGAAAGCCAGGCTGGGAGTAGAAGGTGAGGCAGAGGACTGCATGGGCAATCCTTGGGGAGCAGTAGGAGGACTGCGCCCGGCAGGCTGGTGTGCCAGGAGGAGGCCAGAGCGGGAGCCGGAGGTGCTGACCCCAGCCAGGGCCTGTGGCCTCCCTCTCTTTGCATCAGGATCTGTTAGGTTCAAAAAGCTCATACAAGGAACAGGGACCCGCCCCCAGGTTAGGCCCCGGGGGCTTTTACAAATCAGCTTATACCTGTTTCCTAGGCCTCTTTTGGCTTTTATTCTTTTATTTTTTCAAAAGTAAGATTTTAAACAAAACGATCGATTTTGAACAAATGATCAATTACAGATTATTTTAATGTCAGAGGGTTTCTTCACTATCTTCATCAAATTGTACTTCATATGTTCCTCTTCATTCAAGGAGAAAAAATGGAATGGGCAGGATCTAGATCAGCGGTTCTCAACCTGTGGGTCGCCACCCCTTTAGGGGTCGAACGACCCTTTCACAGGGGTCGCCTAAGACCATTGGAAAACACATATATAATTACATATTGTTTTTGTGATTAATCACTATGCTTTAATTATGTTCAATTTGTAACAATGAAATTGGGCGTCACCACAACATGAGGAACTGTATTAAAGGGTCGCGGCATTAAGAAGGTTGAGAACCACTGAGCTAGATATTTGTACATACAGCCATGAAATACTAATACACAAAGGTATTTAGCAGGGAGGCTGCCATGGAGGGCTTACTGGTCAACCAGCCTGTGTATGTAAACACTCCCAGGGTCTGGGTACCGAAGGACTATCCCATGCTGGGTTCAGATGGGACTGATTAGAGTTTCTTCTGACATCATGATTCTTTAACTCCATCTCTACAGCGTTCTTCCACATACATCATCTCATTTAATCTCACGGCAACTCTGTGTTGGTGAGTGTCATTATCGCCATTTTTCCATGGGGAAATCTATGTCTTTGGTGACACAGCCGATGGTGACAGGCTCTCTGGCTCCACCGCTGGGCTGTTCCTGATGTATTTGTGTCCGCGATCTGGGGTTTGCCTGTACATTCTGTTTAACAAGCACAGACACTTGGGGGGGCCCTGCACGACCCAGCCCCTCACTAGCTCTCTTTCCCTCAATTCCAGTCCCTCAGCCCCTGCTGTCACCTTCCCAGCCACCCTGGCCTCCCAGCCGATCCTCTCACCTGTCAGCTGACCCATCTCAGGCCCCGGCCCCGGCCCTGGTCCTGGCATCTTCCTTTCCTAGAAGGGTCCTGCCTGACCCTTGCTTCTCCCCAGACAGGCGTTCCTGGACCCCAGATCCGGAAGAGCCATTCTCAGCCCCTCACCACCCCAGCCCTGCACTGTTCCTCAGAGCTCTTGTAACTGTGTTCTCTCTGTCTTTGTTCTCTTAGTTATTATCTGCCTCCCCCTGGAACCCAGGCTCCCCTGGAGCCATGCTGGCCACGTCCTTGGGGTGCAGGAGAAGGGAGGAGTGGGCTCCGCTTGCTGGGCCGCCGTTGGCCAGGGTAACGGGCTCGGGACTGTGAAACAGGATCCTGCGAGGGCACAGGGCATGAGCTCTGCTGGAGTCCCAGAAGGGAGGTCAGTGACCATTCATTCATTCACTCACGGAGCACCTACTCGTGGAAAACAGCCGGGGTCAGCCGGCCAGAGAGAGCTGGACTGGCTGTTGTTGTTTTTTTCCTTTCTGTTTATTTTTCCTTGAATATTTGCTCTGTTTTTTAGATATTCAGGACAACTGCGCATTCCTGGGTGTAGAGACTCGAAGACGAGCGATAGATGACGTCTGGACCTGCAGCCCCTCTGACTAGCCGGGTGAGCTCAGAGGCTTTCCTCTCCATCTGCTCGGAGCCCCTCGGGAGAGAGCGTACCTGAAGAACCTCAGACAGAAAAGGGATGGAAGGGGCGGACACTGTGTTGGAAGTAATTGGAAGAGTTTTAACTAAGTCCCCTTGACTTTGGGGCGCCTTATTCCGCAGTAGGGTATTTAGAATCCCTCATGGTCTTTCTCAGTCTGAGAGTATATGCTCGGGGTGTCAGCAGTAGCTTGCCAGCTTTAGGGTTTTGAATCGAGGGACCCTCAGTTCATTTGCCAGCATTTCGTTTTGCCGAATAAGTCTGGAAAGAAACACCATCTATAGTCACCACCATTTCATAAAAGGCAGGGCCCATTCATTCCTGAGCTCGGAAGGACCTCATCGCAGAACAGAGGGTTTGCTCCTTCGTTCTTGGTCACACATTCAGCGGATGTCGGCTGCGTGCTCACGCTGTGCGGTCACGGTGCTCGATGGACTGTAATACTTACTCCCTGCCCTCGTAGGTCACAGAAGTTGCAGTTAAATGTACAATTTAAAGATTTAAATGCTACAAAAGGAAGATGACTGGGGCTCTGAGGGTACACAATAGTGGGGGCAGGGCGCCCCAATCTCAAAGATTGGGAGCCTGGCCCTAGCTGGTTTGGCTCAGTGGATAGAGCATCGGCCTGCAGACCAAAGGGTCCTGGGTTTGATTCAGGTCAAGGGCAAGCACTTTGGTTGCAGACTCCTCCCTGGTCGGTCAGGGCCCTAGTGTGTGTGTGTGTGTGTGTGTGTGTGTGTGTGTGTGTGTGTATTTAAATACTAGAGGCCCGATGCATGAAATTTATGCAAGAATGGGCCTTCCTTCCCCTGGCTGCTGGCACCGGCTTCCCTCTGGCACCCAGGACCTGGGCTTCCTCTGGCCCCCTAAAAACCAATGGAAAAATATCCTCGGGTGAGGATTAACAACAAAAAATAAAGATTGGGAGCTTGGAGGAGCCTTAGGAAAGGGGAGGGATGCATTTCAGGCTGAGAGACATCCTGTGTACAGGCCCCAGGGTGCGGGGAAGATACTGAGGGACAGCAAGGGGAGGAGGAAGCTCCAGGCCACTCATGGCTCTGTAGGTCTAGGAAGGGAATTTGTCTTTGTTCTTTTTTATTTTTTAAATTTTTATTTATTGATTTTAGAGCTGGAGGAGCCTGAGGAAAGGAGAGGGGTGCATTTCAGGCTGAGAGACAGCCTGTGTACAGGCCTCAGGGTGCGGGGAAGATACTGAGGGGACAGCAAGGGGAGGAGGAAGCTCCAGGCCACTCACGGCTCTGTAGGTCTAGGAAGGGAATTTGTCTTTGTTTTTTATTTTTAAAATTTTTATTTATTGATTTTAGAGATGGAGAGAGAGAGAGATTTGTTGTTCCACTTATTTATGCATTCATGGGCTGATTCTTGTATGTGCTCTATTGGGGATCAAACCTGCAACCTTGGCACTCTAACCAACTGAGCTACCCGGCCAGGGCCTGACTTTGTTCTAGGGGCAGTTGGAAGAGTGTGGGGGTGCTGGTGCAGTCAGACCAGCACTGAGCCAACCTCAGCAGAGGATCTGAGCAGGTGGGTCTGAGTGAGGCAAGGGCAGAAGTGAGGGACGCGCTGGGTGACAGGCTGGTGGCCGAGGCGCAGGAGGTGGGCGGGCCTGGAGGAGAGTGGATGGGCCAAGAGGCAGCTGGAGGTAAACTGACAGGAGGTGGAGGCTGTATATGAAGGAGGCTGCTGCTGGCTGATCCTCCCTTTCCGACTGCCACCCGGGGTGCGAGGGGTGGGCTTTCTGGTCGAGGCGCTCTAGAGAAGCCCGTTCTGGGAGGCAGATGCCCTGTTTGGGACGTAATGAGCCTCTGGTGCCTTTGAGATGTCCAAGGGGAGGTGTCAGGTGGGCATGTGGGTATGTGGGACTAGAGTTCAAAGCAGAGGCGAGACTTTCAACTTGCTTCCTTTTCCATATCTCTGGCTGCCAGGCTGGCCACCCCCTAAAAGAGCAGGGGGCACCCTAGCTGGTGTGGCTCAGTGGATAGAGTGTTGGTTTGCAGACTGAAGGGTCCCAGGTTTGATTCCGGTCAAGGGCACATGCCGGGTTTCGGACTCCATCCCCAGTAGGGGGCGTGCAGGAGGCAGCTGATCAATGATTCTCTCTCATCGTTGATGTTTCTATCTCTCTCTCTCTCCCTCTCCCTTCCTCTCTGAAATCAATAATATACTATATAAGAGAGAGAGAGAGAGAGAGAGAGAGGTAGAAGAAAGCCTTAGTTTTCTCTTTATGCCTCTGTACTCTTTGAATTGTGAGCCACTATGCATGTATTATCTATGCAAAAAAAAAATCAACAAAATATAAAAAAAAAAACCCTAAAAATACCAACTACCTTAGCATTGGAAAGAAAGAACGTACTACATGATGCAAACTTGACCCTGGGTGACGGGGTCTGGGGTTTGGACAGGAAACGAGGCACCTCTGGGCGATGTAGCCTTTACACAATCCCTTCCAGCAGTTTTCCTTATCTGCTCCGGTTGGTCTGCCAGACAAGCAATGCTAATTCCCATCATAGTCCACCCACCTCGAAAGCCTTCCCCACGAATGTTCGAATGTTCGTGGGGTGACGGGGATGGAGACCGACGGCCGGGCAGCGTCCTACCCACCCGGCCTCTCCTGCCCCGTCCCACCTCCTCCTCGCTTGTCACAATTCCCAACAAAGCCATTTCTAGGACATAGGAAAATACTGATGACTCATCGAAATGCCAGAAAAGAATTGGAAACAGTTTTCTTTTCTTTTTTTAATTGTGTTCTCACTCATCCCTATCTCGGCCTAAGAAAAAGATTTCCCAGGCTTATTTGTTTGTTTTTAAACTCTGATGCTGGTCTTGCTTCTCAGACGCTGGTCCTAGCAAAATCCACACCAAGTCCCAGACACTAGAAAAAGTGGCTTCCCTCTTCATTACCCTATCACCCGGACACTTCACGCCTCTAAAAAGTCATTTCCTAGGCTGGGGGGGTTGTCAAAATATCTTGCTGGAGGCTCCGACCACCGCATCCATGAGAATCGGGAGAATTAGCATCTGTATTCCACTTAGTTTACATAGTGCTTGTGCCGCCCGAGGTCCGGAGGCCCAGCAGCCCCTGGTGAGGGCTTTGTTTTCCGAGCCTCCCTCCGGGTCTGGCACACCTAAGACGTTGTTAATTCAGTGTTTGTTGCCTGAGGAAGGCAGCCCGACTACGGAAACGGGCTTTCCTAAGGCCTCACAGCTCGGAAGGGCAGAAAAGTATATTTGAGCCTAAAACTGGGCTGAGGGTTTCTTCCGCTCCCTGGGTCCTCACCAGTAGGAGTGCTTTGACCATCACTCGGGGTGCCGGGCAGCTTTGGTGGGTCCCAGAATATGCCAGGGGCGGGGTGTGTGGTCACCTCTGACTCTTCTACTGCAGTCACTCCTGCAGCCTGTCCAGCTCACCTTTACCAGATGTTCCACTCAGATCCTAACCTGCGCTTACTGGGCAGAGTTGAGCGCCAATGGCATCCTTTAATGACTTTCGGCAGGAGAAGGGGGAAGGTAAACGTATACTAAGTCAGAAAACAGCACAGGCTACCTCGGTAGTCCCATATGACCAGGGGCTTGGGATCTGTGTGAGGGTGGTGAGACAAAGGAGAGCCACCTGCAACATGGACAGGGAGATGGCACCAGGGCTCACCAGGGGGCCTCTGAGATATGTACTGACTTTAGAGAAAGAGGAGGGGAGACACAGAGAGAAACAGTAATTTGTTGTTCCACTGATTTGTGCATTCACTGGTTATTTCTTGTATGTGCCTTGACCGGGGACTGAATCCGCAACCTTGGCGTATGGGGACGACATTCGATCTAGCTGAGCTCTGATTCGGCTCAACATTTATTTCCTTGCTTTGCTCTTTCAAATCCATTCTTTTAGTGCCCGTGGGTATCATCCAAACTGGGCGTGTCTCTGTACTGCAAGGGCGAATGATCGTTTTTTCCTCGTTGGCGCCAAGAGCATTATCTAAGTGCCCCCATCACAGGCCAGGTCCCCTCGGAAGGCACGCCCCTGCCACTAGTGTTAAAACCAGCACTGCTTCCTGACTGTTTGACACCATGAGGCCTGACTGTGGATTTGGGGAGTGGAGGTCACGGAGTCTCTCCCCGTTGTTTGAGGAGAAGGGTCTCTGTGACTGTGCACGAGCTTAGGTTGTTGCTGCAATTTTTTTCTACAAAGAAGACTCCATTCTGAGGGCCTTCCTGAGGCTCAGGAGCAGTTGTGGGTCTTTATAGATGCAAGTGACAAGCAAGGCTTGGGTTTGTTTGGAAGAGAGCATGAAGTTGACAGAAAACTACATTTTTTTTTCTTTCTTTCCTGTTTCCCTGGCTAGTCGACTCAGCTAATCTAGTCCCAAATATTTCTTCCTTTGTGACACTTTTTGAGACGCTTTCCAGACAGAAAAAAAAAATGCCTTGATTTTCTGTTCCCCAGGCAGTGCCCCCGTTCTCGCTGCCAGGGTAGCGCAGATGACATCTGGTTGTTGTCATGGTTCTGGTCCCGCCTGAGGGCAGAGGCTGTTTAATATCCCCTGGGGTCTCACCTAGAACCTGGCACCACTTCTTTTCTTTAATAAAAATAAAAATCAATTTACATATATTGATTTCAGAGAGGGAGAGAGAGGGAGGGAGAGAGAGAGAGAGAAACATCAACATCGATGATGAGAATCACGATCGGTTGCCTCCTGCACGCCTCACACTGGGGATCAAACCCACAACCCGGGCATGTGCCCTGACCGGGAATTGAACCGTGACCTCCTGGTTCATAGGTTGACGCTCAACCACTGAGCCACACGGGTCTGGCGCTGGCTTGAATCGGTGCTGCCTACAAGGATTGAGAATCATGGGAACCTATTTCCGTTCCAGAAAGCCAAGCTCTCGTTCTCTGAGAGCGGGCAGGCTCCTTCCTGTGTCTGTGTGGCCCCGACATCAGTATTTACCAGGCTGTCCGTCCCGGGTCAGGACTTGCACCTGATTGGTCTCTAGGATGACTTTTGATCAAGACGGGCATGTTTCCTCGCTGACTCCTGCCAGGGTCGTGACGAGGCAGCCTCCACCCTTGCCGTCTGGGATGACGCACTGGCCTCCACTGTCATTGCCTTCCTGTAGTCACTGCCCCACAGAGAGAAGCTGTCTGCAGCCTCACTTCCACGGGGGACCTCGCCAACCCGCCCCTTTCTACAAGGGCATCAGAAGAGCAAAATTCAAGCCCGCCTGGCATGGCTCCGGGTTGGAGTGTTGTGACATCAGCCCATGTACCGAAAGGTGGCCGGTTCAATTTCAGTTCCTGGTCAGGACACATGCCTGGGCTGTAGATTTGATCCCCTATTCGGAAGGCAACCATGTTTCTCTCTCACATCAATGTTTCTCACTTCGATGTTTCTCTCCCTCTCAGTCTCCCTTCCTCTCTCTAAGCATGTCCTCAGGCGAGGATTAAAAAAAAAAGAAGAAGAGCAAATTTCAGGAAATGAGAAAAGCCGGCAGGGATTTAAAAAATAATTTTTAAATCTGTATATTTTTTGAATAAGTAACACGTTCTCATGGTGCAA